TACAGAACAGATGTAACGGCCACAGGCACAAATACAGCAGGCTGGGAAGAACCAAGCATGCTTTCTGTAAAGAAATGACAAAGCCTCACAAATCTGTTTTTTTTAAGTAATGAGTGGAAAGTCAATTGATGTATTCTGTGGATTTACATTTGTGTTTTTAAATTCTTTTCAAAATATTTTAAAAAGAAACCTTTAGAAATTTGAGAAATTTAGAARCCTTTCTAAATTTGAGAACAAATACGATTGTCATGAATTTCTTGGAAAATTCCAAACATTGATCAGGAATAAGCAGACATGTTTCCACAGTCAATAGAGAACTCCCAAGGAGAGATGAGATCTCTGCTTGAGCTTGTGTCATTCAATACATTTAASATTCTGAAAAAAAGCAACGAGTAAAGCACAAGACAGCAAGATTTATTATTTGAATCAGTAATGATGTAGAGAAAGACCCTGCAAAAATGCACAGCTGCTTAGCAGTTAAGAGTGCATCAGAAGAAATTCAATGTCAAGCATTTCAATCCAGCTTCGGCCACCAACAAYGAGCTATTAGATGATTTACACAAAAGTGACATCTTGGAATTTAACTAGTTATTTTACAGGATTAGGTCATTGCTCCACAAGAGTACAAAAATCCCAGATAGAARGCAAAGAATTATTAAAAAGCATAAAATTAAAAAAAAAAACCTACAGTGCTACTAGGCCTCACGTTCTGTGTCTATTTCTGGTTCCAGTGGTTCAAAATGACAGAGCTGAAATGAAAACACTGCATAAGAACAAAATGATGATCAGATGAATAGATGATTGAAAAAATTACACTGATCTCATACAGGRAAAAACAGAACTTCACAAGCTGGTAATGGAGACCACCGAGGTAGGACTGAGTACAGGTCTCTCAAAATCATGACAGAAATGAGGAAGACCATCAGGGAATAACTGTCAAATGGAAATAGAAGAATTTGTTTCTATGCAAGAACTAGAGGCCAACAAACGAAACTACCAGAAAGAATTGTCCCTTTTCCACAGAACTGATCATTAAGTGCAGAACTCCCTGCCTTGGGGTGTCGTAGATGCTACGAGTTCATACGGCTCCAATTGTAATCGAGGTGCAGAGACAGAAACCCCCAGAGGCATCACTCCTGGCCTTGGGACCTGCCAGCTATTAGKAACACTTCTGCAAACCTCTCCCTATCTCCCCTTCAGACATCTGCTCGCAGCCCCTGYTGAAGAAAGTTTGCTGGAGCAGCTGGTCCTCCGGATTGATCCAGCACAGACACTATGACACTGACTTCCATCTGCAGCTGCAGTTCACACTGATGTTCCTGAGCAACAAGCCATCTCTAACAGCACTGAAGGCACACCGAGAGACAGAGGAAGAAGCTACTGCAGCCTTCTAATATTAATCTTGGGCCAGCTGGTCAAGCTCACAATAAGCACAGCTGCCAAACCGTGTATTACACAGATCACTATGATCGGAGATATTTCCAGAGAAACCTACCAAGTACAGTAATAGCTAAACAGAGCTACTGCTAGGGTAACTATTAAATAGTCTGACTATATTTCATACTACGGTGTACATACCTAATACCCAGGTTCACCTAAGTTGCATTTACGGAAAATTATCAAAGACAACACCAGCAGGAAGACTGTCAGCCATGTTAAAAAAAAAAAAAAATCTACCTAACTTCTTTTTATCTTCTAGACTGTGTCTCAGTTCTTGAGGTTATCTTTCCAAAAACAATGGAGGTCATACAAGATCACAGAATCACAGAAGGGTTAAGATTGGAAGGGACCTTTAAGGGTTCAGGTTGGAAGGGACCTCTAGAGACCATCTAGTCCAACCCCTCTGCTCCAGCAGGGACACCCAGAGCACGGGGCACAGGGCGGCATCCAGGCGGGTTTGGAAGATCTCCAGAGAAGGAGACTCCACAGCCTMCCTGGGCAGCCTGTGCCAGGGCTCTGGCACCCTCACAGTGAAGTTCTTCACATGCAGGTGGAACTTCCTGTGTTTCAACTTGTACCCATTACCCCTTGTCACAGAATATTCAAGGTTGGAAGGGACCTCTAGAGATCATCTAGTCCAACCTTCCCAAAGGTTGTCCCTTGTCCTGCCACTGGYCGCCACTGAGATGAGTTTGGCCCCATCGTCCCTACATTCTCCCCTCAGTTGATGTTGATCCTGATGTTGATCAGATCTCCTCTCAGTCTCCTCTTCACTAGGCTAAACAGACCCAGGTCRCTTAATCTGTCCTCAAGATGGGGCTGAAAAGGCTAAATATGCCCCTTAAGTTATTCCAAAGTAAATTCAACCATATTTAAGAAGTCTGTGTTTTAATTTATTCTTAAAAAAGGCCTACAACAAAAGTCTGCATTCTTTCCAGAGACCCAAAATGGCTGAAAAGCTGGAATGAGGCTTTGACCAGGTTCTAGATTAGGCCTTGACCAGGTTCTAGATTAGGCCTCCATTTCCTGCAATTCTTCACCTCTCTTGCTAAGTGTTAGAACTGTACGTCTAGAACGGTAAGTTTCTTGGCAGGAGACTGTCATTTTAGGAAAGGCTGATACTTAGAGAATCACATAAGCTCTCTCATACCTAGATTAAGAGATAGTGGTTTTGCTTGGGCACTAAGACCTGTGGGGTGGGATGGTCCTTTAAGAGTAGTAGGGGGAAAAAAAAAGCATTTAAAAAGATTTAACTTCCCACTTCATTCACCCTAGACTCTAAGCCACGCTCAGTCAAGTATTCTCATTTCCTACTGTGATAAAAGACAGGGACACTGTCCAGGGACAGGGACATTAAACCAATCTGCAGGAAAAAAAAMGTCTGGGCTAGAATGACATTACACCATTTCAAGTGAATTCCTCATATAGTATTTTCCATACTTTCTTCCTTTACAGAGGAAGATGCAGTCTATGTTATCAGGATTTAATTGAAGAATCTCGACAGTATTTTCATATTCCTGAATTAAATTACTTGATTACATTCTCCTTGAAGCTATTATTTACATCTTAATAAAGGGCTACCATTATAGTTCTTTAATGACTCCAGAGATAAAACTGTGCTGAAAAAATCCTGAGAACAGTCAATATTTCATTTAGCTATGTAAACTAGACAAATGCATAAAGCATGTATGTTTAACAAATGAGGATAGGAAGCACATTTTAAAACCCAACAAATTCTTAGTGCTCAGAATGAGGAAAAAGAAGTAAACCTAAAAATCTATTGAAAACTGCAGTTTTCAATACTTTGGGCTCACTTTTAGGATTACAAATAACCAAATCCCCACCAGCCGGCACCTCCCTGCCCCCCTTCCTATCACATAACCCAAATTTCCCCTTTTGATTAAAGGCAAGCAAGATTTTTGCCCCAGGTCTTAGCAATATTTAAAGCACTATTGTTTGTAATAACAAAGCAATTGACTTCATAAAAATTTTCCAGCTTAGGTATTCCAGGCCTTCAGCAACCTTGAATGTACTTTAGCCTTCTGTTTGTTCACCGTATTACTGCAATCCTCTCTACTACTTGCTCCACGCCGCTTACCCTTGATCTCCATCAAATCCCAAACAGGCAAGAAAACTTCCCTATGCAGCATCTCAAAACTCTGCTGTTTCTCCAGCACTGRCACTGGAGCAGCCCAAGCAATTCAAGAGAGCTCCTTCCCAGGAGATGCAATGGGAGGCAGCAATCTCACCTGCCACAAAAACATCTTCTGAAAAAAAATCTGTATCTGTCACTTATTTCCACAGTCCGCTTTGGTAGAAAGTCATTTTATTTCCTCAGAATTAACACCATTAACTTCCCACGACAACACCTGCCCCTCATAATCTGTCAAGACACAGGCAACCCTTGGAAGGAGCTGAGCAACACCCTTCCAAGGGTGGGAACCGGAGCACACCCACACTGGCACCCTAACACCTCGATCCAACGCGGAGGCAGGTTATCCACRCGGGGCTGCTCCCTGGCTGGGACCCGCCAAGGAGACTCAACTAGGTGGCAGTTACTTTGTCACACCAGCAAGGACTGGAGGCAGTAATTACCGACAGGCAAACGAGGGCAGGGATGCAAGGAAAAGAGCAAGCAGCTCAGAAGGGTACTCTGGACTAATCTCACTTAGATTCTCCATGCAATTCTTGACCTACGGGCATAAGATTCAGAAAGATAACAGGGAGAGAGAAGGTAGAAAAACTGCCTGATTTTTTGCTTTCTTGTTTCTGTTTTTTCAGCACTTCCAGTGAAAATACGGCTTCTCCTTTCAAACCTCTCCTTAACTCAGATCTGAAGGGAGCAGARTARARTGGCCCAAGCTGTTGGGCAGCACARCTTCAGAGGCCAGAYGCTTGGCCAGAGGTCCCAGAGAAGCTAAAGCTCCCAGAGTAGATGGCTACAGCTTGTAACACGCAGGGGCTGTTAGTTAAAGGGCCTCTACAGCCACATGCTCAAGCATCCACATAGGTGTGAGGATGACACAGCATGCAGAACACATAGCTTCAAAACAGAATTTTGGCAGTGTGAAGCAAAAGACACTAAATGCACAGTTTAAATGTTCAAGCATCAAAGAAGCAAAGCTACGACAGTGTGTTCTTATTAGACATCCATTTTGCCTCCCTTTTGTAGCAGCAGTTAGATTAATGTAAGGCACTGCTGCAGAGACTATATTAGTGTCATTGAACAGGATATTTAACCACCTGCAATATAAACAGCAAATGCAGGTTAAATCCAAGATTCTCCCCAAGCACAGAAAAAATTAAAGATTATCAAGCACACTTGTAACAGTAATTATTAAATAAAATATATTTCCTGAGTTAATAAGAACTGATAAAATTACTTCCCAGAAACTACACCATTAGCTTTAAATTACTTTTTTAAAAAATAACAATATTTCAGCCTCATCAGCTACTTGCACACCAAACCTTCAGTCTTATCTGCATACAGCCAGCCGGTTTTTTAAATTCTGCTGTAATTGAGGGGAAGAATAATCAAGCAACATTATTAGTCATCTTACCATTGCTCCCTGGTGGCTGTAACGCATCTCCTGTCAAGCTGCACCATCCGACCGGGAAGATATCTCGAGAATCGTATCTGCACCAGTAGTCAAATGCTCCTCTCCAGCCATCAAATGTAACAAAAACTTCATCTCCTTTAACATCTCCAATGGTTGCTGGGCAAATTAAGTAGGGGTTCTTTCTATCTATAGCTTCAAGTTTCATCCCAACTTTAAAAGAATTTGGTGCGGGCTTTGGTGGCTCCTATGACAGCAAGGGTGCGAGAACATTTGTCTTTGTATTACCTCTTGTATTACTGACAAACAAGCATTTCTCCTCACAATTCTTCTTACAATGTTTTGAAAATAGTGTAACATATGTTTTTTAAAATATCTTGATTCATGTATTAAATTTGGTTTTGCTCTTCTGCACTATAAAGGCTAGATTGTGTATTCATGATCACAGCTGGAAAAAATCCTTGTGACAGAAAGACTATGCTAGAAGTATTTTCATAAGCAATAGCTTGCACTCAACACACTATTGGCAACACGACAACAGAAAGAAATTATTGCATATTAATACTGATAACTGTCTGGTACTAGCTTCACTTCTCAATTAAGCCACGAAAAAAAAAATCACTAACATTGGACATAATTTATAGGCCTCTGTGAGCCAAGCTGGCCCTGGATCAATTCCAAGGAGACAATAGCAAAACAAACATCAAGTCAATGTGACCAGCAAAAGTTACCCTCAGAGCAGAGCGGTGACTGAATGGAACCTGAATTACCACCTTGCCTTAGGAAATGCACCATCCAAAAAAAAGACACTCATAATTCCCAAAAAACTCTCAGGCTGGGATACTGATGTCTGAATTATCACAGCTCAAAAAAGTTTAAAGTGAGCCTGCAAGCAATGTGGCTGCAGGTCTGAACCAAGCTGTTCAACCTGCTGCCATGCTGGTAAAGGCCAGTCTCAGGATCAGGGATGAAGTCACTCAAAGCGACAGCAGCATTTTAGCACCCCAACGGGAACAGCAAGGCAAAAAGATCAAACCAACAAGACATTTTGATAGGACTATTGTTCCTTCATATATGTATTTTTTAAATTTATCTTTCAAAAGTGTCAGAATACCCTTTACTATTACTGTAAAACACATTCCCATTATGTTTTTAAAGGATCGCTACATAGCCAATGAAAACTTTTAACAAAACCTTTCTAAGCACTGTGGTGTTCCAGTGGCTCTTAATTACCACTAAAAGCTTTCACTGTTGCACACAACCACACAAATATGGTGCTGCCAACAGATGAGAGCTGCATCACATCTCAAATCCTTCACAGGAAAAAAAGAGTCTTTTTTTTTTTCTAAATAGCTCATCACACTTTAATGGTCCAAATTTGGGTAAAAAAAATGACCATCCAACGGATGGACRATCACCTCCTATCTAGCTTCATAGCTTGCCAGTCCAATTCAAAATAATTTTTAAGATCCATATGGGAGAGCAGAGCTTAGTATCTTGGCCTTCTCAGTAACAAAAGTAACCAGGAACCAGCTGAGAATATCTCAGAGCCCCTTTCTTACCTTCTTAAAGAAAGCTGCAGGTGCCATCTCAGCTCCATTCAGTGTTCTTAAGAGAAACATTGGCCAAGAAGATGCATTCATCTGGAATCCTAAGCAACAAACACATTACTTAGAAACAGAAAGCAGAGATTTTGCATATAGAATATAAAATGGAAGGAGAAGGATACAAAATTTGCCTTACTAATGCCTAATTCCCTGTATTTTGCGCTTGGCTTGAAATACACGTAGCGGAGAACCGATGAGGCAGCTGTTGGTGCAGAAGGCTGTGCATGCATTTCCATTTTGAGTGGTTTGCTGCAGATCTCTGTCACAGTCTAACTCTTAGATGTGGGAGACGATAAGCGAGTCACCCGGCACATCCCCTGATCCAATGGCGCTTCCCCAGCGCAAGGACCCAGCTCGCTGTTCTGAGCCGCTTTCCTCTCTCATGCTCAAAAAACAAACATTCTCAGTCCCCACTTTTCTCATTTATTAGATACCTTTTCATTTGCATTTACTGTAGTCCTTTTACCAGAACACAGAAAAAAAAAAAAAAAAAGAACTGGTTTCTTCTGCTTCCTCCATAAACGAATGAACAAAAATACATACATACATATGTGTACAAACACACACTCCTACCAACCAAAGAATATACAGTGAATTTAGTAACAATATACACTGTATTACAAAACACAATGTAAGTTGGTTTGGGTTTAAAATCCTTCATTAAAGAAATGAATAAAAAGTACAAATAATAATCAGATCCGTTTAGATTAATGACCTTATTCAGGCAGAACAAAGGTTTGGCTGCAGTCTCCTTCATTCCAGGTAATCCTCCCTGAGAGCCAGTTCTTTCCCAGCTAAAAACACCCCCTTTGCTTTCTCAGCTTTCCAAACGTAGGCTTCAAAGTAATGAACAAAGTGAAAGGTAAACTGGGCATTTGAGTCTCTGTCTTTAGCAGGTAAACACCTGGCACAGCTCTATAGAAGAGCAGACATGAGACAAATAGGAAACCTCTCCACAGAGCACATAGCTCCAGAATCGGCCAGAAACTGAGGTGTTTCCTCGTAACCAGCCCTCACAAAGAGTGCGACATAACTTGCAACTTTCAATTTATATTAATTTATATTAAATACTTTAATCCCCTCAAATTGGACTRCAAGGTATAACAGCCCTTTACGTTATAGTTTTAAGTTATCTCTTCTGTGGAATAAAGGGCCTTCTGGTTGGAACCACCTCTAAACAAATACAAAACTCATGCCTGACAAATGATGCCATCACACGAGGACTACCGAGCTGATCATCAGTCCTGGTTTGATACCAGGATCTTTGCATGCCCTAAACACATTTGATTCTTGAAACACCACAGTCGTAGCCAGCTAGCACAGAACTGACTCATACATGAGACAGCAGCACGACAGCTGAGCAACAGCTTAAGTTAACTTCATTTGGTGTTTGAATTGCCCTGGTAAAAAACACAGAAAACGTTATCCTCAAGGGAGTTTTCTGAAAACATTAAGTTGCTGAAAACAGCAAGAACAACAACAAATCACCCCTGACAAATGGAAGCGGGAAGAGACAACCTTTGCTACATTAATCATTTTCAGAAACTCGGTCTAACATGCATAATTAAACCCATGTAACAATCAGGTGGGAGGGAAGATTTTTAACTTGTTATTATGAAAGAAATAGAACATTAGTATCCAGAAGGCTCCCTACTATGCAGGAGAGAGAGAGAGAAAAAAAAATCAGTTTAAATGTCTAACAGGAGGTAATTATACACTCAATTAGCTCCCAGCTTTGCCCAGGAACAGGATGCTGTAAAACAGCCAAAAAGGCTTTCKCAAAAGTGTATCAAGGTACAGCAGAACGCTTGCTGGCTGGAGCGCAGCCTATCTGGAAGAAGATCTGGGACAGGAGGGACAAACCGAGGGCACTCGCATTCTTTTCTGCATAAGCAGCGATTGTTCCGAGGGCAGACACGCTCGCATTCCTGGGGGCTTGGAAACATCTCGTCAGGTGCCGCGCGCGCAGGAGCCGGAGTGAACGCAAGCGCGAGGCGGTAGCCACGGGGCATCCATCAACGCTGCCACTGAGGAGCACGAGAAGTCGCTCTTCTTAATGGGTAAGCTGACCCCACTAAACATAAGCCAGAGCTGTTCCGTATATCACATTTAGCAACAGGTTTCTAAAAGTACTAAGGCCCTGAGTTAAAGCCGTACATATAAAACTGGACATTTGAAGGAACAGGTCTATTCATTGCTAGAACCATCCTCTTTCATACTGGTAGCACAGCATTCATTCTACGAGGGTGAACCAAGAATGCCAAAGAGATTGAACTCTTCAAAGAAAAAAAGAAAGTTTTAGATTTTCTTTTTCTTCAAGAATTCACAGTGTCTTCATTTAAAACCTACACATGTTCCAAAGAAAGAAAGAAAATCCCATTCTGGAGTCAAACTACGTCTTTCCATCCTGAATAGTATTTTTTCCAGACAGCCACCCTTCTTGCATTGCCTTCCTTGTGTTTCTAAAGCAGCACAAAATTCTGCCTTTATAATCCAGTTTAAGTGCCTTAAAAGTTACAATGCTCATATAGTGATTGCTGTATACATATATTGCAATATACATATTGCTGCTTTAACTGCATATTTCTTTAAAAGCAAATCAAGTTTCACATTGTAGCAATATAGTAATTTTTCACATGGATCCGAAAGTCATTAGCATCTAATGTTCATAAATGTAAGAGTTTTTTTTATTTTAAATAAAAATGAAAGAATGTATACTTATCTTTACTGAACCTCTGTTTCCTCATGTGCAAGAATTACTAATGATACCAAAACCAGAAGGAGATTTATAACCGTGAGACAGGAAAGCAACAATAAYATTCTTACATTAAGAACATTATTTCTCAGCAGAATGTTATGAATTTGGGCAAGGGGGTTGTTGCTGTGGAGTTTTTATTTTTTAAGGGAAATGTTAACCTTTTTTTTWAAAAGTAGAACTATTTTCAAGCCAATATGAAAAATGTCTTGCTTCAAAAATGTTCAAACCTGGAATTTATTCTATAACAAACACGGTTCAATACACAGATGAATCATACAAAGAAAAGTTGCAAAGCAATCGTATTAACCATAGTGGTCAGGCAGGTTAACTTTGACTGTTCATCTATAACAAGGAATTCCTTTGTACAGTTCCCCCTTCAATAAACCCCTCAAATCTTTTTTGACGGAGCCCAAGTACCATTTCCTCAGCCTGGGGAATCACAGTGTCGTMGCTGGTACCGCCCACAGAAGGCAAGGGATATTCTGCAGACTATTTTTGGTTTTGTACTATTTCTAAACACAGGAAAGCCACATCTYGTTTACGAGTGTTCACAGCGCTCATAAACCAGTCATAAAAAAAGGATCAGGCATCCCCCAAGATGCGTCGATTAGAGGGATCAGAATCGTACGCCATATAAGTTTACAGTTTGCCAACCCCCCGGAGCACTTTTCTCCCACCTCCGAGCACAACGTGACAACATTGGAGCCAGCCCTTCCTACGCTGCCTTTCCCAGAGCACAATTTTCTCTGCGAGCTTGAAAAAAGCCTTCAGATGGTGCTGAGCTGCTGCGGCTCCCGCAGCGCGGCTGAGCACCTCGCACTCAGGTTAACAGCGAGTGCCGTCTAGCGGGYCTCTGTGCTCAGCACAGGAGGAGAAAGGAAAAACCACCCCCGGGCTTTCGCCAGCGCTGCTCTGTTCTAACCAGGGCCTGCTAAAACGAGCATGCACATACAGCAAGAAAATACTATATCCACCCGCACCCACAGGATAGGGTGTGTATCGGGGAATATTTTTAGACTGCTGCACAAGACAATGCATTTGGACAGGAAAAAAGCTGCCAGTCTGACACACCGACTTAATAATAAAGGATATTTGTAAAAACAACTGCTTAAAATCTAATTATTCTGCTTAGGTCCAAAAAAATCCCCAAAAACAGAAGTGGCAACTGCTTTGCTCTGAATCAGCTTGCTTACCTTTCCTTTGTTAGTAAATAATGGTTCAGGGAAGTACCATCAGATTTGCCAACACAAAAAACCAAACTTGCCTGTGCGAAAGCACCATGCCGGATGCGACACTTCAGAAACGTTGTTTCTTACCAAGCGGAGGCTGGAGCATCCCCCCTTTCTTTTCACAGCTACCGATGGGCTGTATATCCAAGGAATCCACAAGCCTCCAAAAATCGTTTTTGTTGTCACTTCCATCGAGTCGCAGCCGTAACCTGGCACCGGTGATTCCGATGACGGTGGCGATACAGACCGAGGTGACGTTGCGAGGGTCGCGGGCTTCCAGCTTCATACCAACTTTGAAATCATTCGTAGGTGGAATTCTGGACTACAGTAAGAGGCAAAAGACATGTTTCTGATTTTGGTTTGTACTGCTAAATTTATCAGATAATTCAATGTACTGCTTTCTTCATCTAGAAATATCATTTATCTGCTAAATTTATAGAGAAAAAAARGAGAGAAAAAAATTAATGTTAAATTTTACAGAAAGGAAATATAGTCTCAAAGTCATATGAAACTTCTCAGCTAACATAGGAGTCAGCTTGTGCTACTCACAGAAATCTGAATGCGTACATACACACACAGAGTGAAATGCCAATTTAATTAGCAGGCGTCAGATTTTCGAAAAAGACAGTGGCACAGGAAGAAGAAACGTGACGATGCCATTTGGTCTTTGATCTAAGCTTCCTGTGAGAAAGAAACTACAGATTAAGAAGAGCCAAGGGAATATTTTTTACAGGACTGTTGCTAAGCAGGTAGAAAAACTCCCCATAACAGCAGGGGCAGAAAACCACTGGATCACCATGACTGATCACTACTTACTACAATGGTACTGCAGGCAATCAAACCATTTAATGCTCTTCAGAATTTTTTTTTATTAAAACTAAATGGAACTGGTTGCTTCTGCCACGTGTGTAGAAGGATTAGCCCAGAATTTCCAGAACCTGCTCATTTTCAGACTACCTGTATTCATGGAAACTTTTTCCCTTGTTATCTTTTACCTTATATCTTTTGCAAATGACAACAAAATCTGCAGGATATTGATTGATAGAGGGTGATCTAATTCTTTCTCAGCACTCTTTCATCAAATCGAGTAAAAACTGTAGTTTCTTGGGGCTAATTTCTCTAAAGGAGAATGATGATTTCCCAATCATCCTGTAAGTCCTTTGATGCATCTCTTCTGCTACAAGCTGGTTTTGAACACAGCTGATACAAACTGTAGGCCAAGCTCCAGGCACTAGGGTCAACCTGAAACCTAACACTAAAGGCAGGGAGGCAAGTGAGAAATGTGAGCATCACACTCCCAAGATAAAAACGTCCCATCCCTACCCATTCTTGCACTGGCACATTTATACATCTGGGCATCCACAGAAAGGCTGAAGTATTCTGTGTTACTCTAGCAAGCGTTGGTGATACTTTGCCTTCACTACCTTTAAATTTTATGTATGTGTCTTGCCGTGTTTGTGCTACTGTGTGCAGGTGCTCCATTTGAAGCAGGCTCAGATCCCCAGCAGGAGCCCTGACAGAGCCAGAGCCCCCCAACGAAAGAGAGCAGCCCCGTTCAGCGAGCGCCGCGCGCAGCAGCTGCCCGCGGAACATGCGGACAGCAGGCTGGCTGAGGAGGCAACCTCAGCATATTCAATTTAAAGGGCAATTCAATTCCAGGATATTGCTTGTCAAGCTGTTATTTTCTACAACCATGAAAAGCAATTGAAAGTGAAAAGCTGGAGAGGTTGGTTTGTTTTTAAAAAAGGTGAGCTTGTTTAAACCGCAATAACTCAGGGCACTGTGCTCAAAAGGTGTCTCCTCCATATCGGGTCTTATGTGCATCCAGAGAGCAAAACTAGTTGAATAACAACTCTTTTAAGYCCTGCTCAAACCACAAGGCACTGGTCTTTTTCATTTAAAATTTTCAACTGTTTGAAAGCGATACAGTGAGAGAAATAGATGTGCATTATTTCCAAATTTAAATGGTAATTAGAAAGAATGGAGAGCAACAGATTGAAGCATTTCTCTAAATGTAGAGTATGTATTATCAATTTCTATTAGCTCTCTACACCTGCATATTAGAGTTATCTTGTTCTCTGGGACACTGGTTTCTTTTTTATTTTCATTTAAATATTAATATAAAAATCTAAGTTTTMTAAGACACTCACAAGTTACATATTCTGATTTGGACTGTCACGTTAAGCTTCTCTGCCTAGCTGCATTTGGTCTGCTACTGCAGAGTATTTCTTCAAATTACACMGAGTGAGAACGACGTGTACAAGCCATGTGCAACCCAATAATGTCAAATTAGTCCTACACAAAGCCCGAGCACTTTTGCTTCTAAAATCTGCAACTATTAATTAGTGAGAGGAGCCAGCTCTGCAATAATTACCGCTGCATATCGCTTTCTACTTAAAGGTCAATCCTTAGAAGAAACTATAAATCTGCATATGCAAAATGTTTTGAAATTTGCTATGAACAGAAATCAAAGTTCCTCTAACTCCTCCACACACTACAAGCAACCCAAGCCACTCACACTGAGCTCAGTCAATGCATGCCACTTAACCATTAAGGTATTAGTTGCTCACTTTGGAAATCTTGAGCATTAGCAGCAAAGGAAAAGATTCAAGTGCAAAAACAACAAGGAAAGGCTTCTGGGCAGGTTTCTGCAGCAGCTCCATGACCCAAGAGTAGAGGCTCTTGCCATGACTGCACGGTGTGCAAGGCCAGCATCAGCTTCAGAAGGACTAGAGGTTGTGCTACTGAGCTCTGTCCCTACTCGCACAGTTTGGGGACTCTGCCTTGAGCTGGTATTGACTATGAAAAAGGGATACAGAATCACAAAAGGGCTAAGGTTGCAAGGGTCCTCTAGAAATCATCTAGTCCAACCTTCCTGCTCCACAAGGGACACCCAGAGCACAGGGCAGCATCCAGGCAGATTTGGAAGATCTCCAGAGAAGGAGACTCCACAACCTGCCCGGGCAGCCTGAGCCAGGGCTCTGTCATCCTCACAGTGAAGAAGTTCMTCCTCACATGGAGAWGGAACTGCCTGTGTTTCAACTTACACCCATTGCCCCTTGTCCTGTCACTAGCCACCACTGAGAAGAGCTTGACTCCTTCCTATTAGGGGTCAAGGAACATGTAAGTACATTCCTCCTTCATGCACTTATACATGTTGATCAGATCCCCTCTCAGCCTTCTCTTCTCCAGAGAAAACAGGCCCAGTTCACTCAGTCTCTCTTCATACGAGAGATGTTCCAGTCCCTTAATCATCTTGGTTGCTCTCCATTGRACCCTCTCTAGGAGCTCCATGTCCCTCTTGTCCTGGGAAGCTCAGAACTGTCCCCAATACTCCAGGTGTGGCCTCACTAGAGCTAGGTAGAGGGGCAGGATCCCTTCCCTCGACCTGCTGGCAACACTCCTCCTGATGGAGGAAATCCTGATGCAGTTCACTCCTGATGCAGTTTACTGAAGATACTCAGTTACAGGCGTTACATCCACGTGTAGCCGTGGACATTGTAACTCGTAGCTTCCTCTAACCTCCTTGCTTGCTGTTTGAAACCAACACATAAAGTCTCTTTGTCCTTGAACTTCAACCTCCCCAGAACAAGCTGAGACCCRAGATGTAGCGTGAGGAAATGTTTCCATATGGTTTCCTCTCTCCTCAATCTCCACCTCTACAAGCTGCTTCAAATTTGCTGTTACAGTTCCCCTCCTCAGATTAATTCATTCACTTCACTTTGTGTTAGCTCCCACTGAAGGGAGGCCAGTACTGCCCACAGGAGCAGACCACCAACACATCCTAGAAGACACCTCTCTGCACATACCCCATCCACTAAACTACGTTTGCCACTTGTCACTCCTACCTGAACTGGGCAACTCCTTCAGCAGTCACCTTTCTAACACAGCAAGAGCAGGCAAATCAAAGCTCATCCTGTGTATCGTTATGCAGCTARCTAAGCTAGGGCTCAAGCCAGGAACATACTGGCCCCTATGTCCCTCTAGAGAAGGGAATGGGCTTGCAGAAGTTGACACAGTCTCCCGAGGGCKGACCCACTGGAGATGATTGGCTCACACAGGATGACAGATTTAAATTTCATCTTGGAATGCATACAAAAACATCAGGCAGAGAGGAAATTAAATGTAGAGGGCAGTATGCAACAGTATATAGAAACCTTTCTTATATCATCATTACCCATTCCTTCTAGTTCTTACTAAACAATTAATAATGCTGTTAACTTCAGAGAAGACAGGCAACACATGTTTGCTCTTCAATAAACCTTTTTTTTGGGAGGCGGGGAAAGTCTCTCTGAAACGTTCAGGCTTAGCCACTACCCATACTTCCATATTCTGTATAGCAGAAGCAACACACCAGCAACCAGAGCTCTGTACCGTGGAAGGGGCAAATAATGTTCTTCACTGCGCAATCAGTACTGCTTCAGTACTCCCCATGCAGCTCCCCCCACCTCCTCCACCCCATTTTATTTCATTTCATTTTAAATCTTCACTATTTAATGCTCCTTGGAAATAACCACTCTGCTCAAGAGGATCCAAAATTAAACATATTTGGAAAATGCAAAAAGAAAAAAAAAACAGTGAATAAATTCTACTACACACACAGGTATCAAGAACGGGAAGTTTCAACAGCGAGCAAATTATAACTTGAGATCCAAAGAAATCCAGTGGGAGGTTTACAAGCAGCGTACATACAAAGGCTGCTCCAGCATCACTCCATCAACACGCACACRTGCACACAGACTTGCAGGACAGTGCTTAGCATACCTGTCTGAAACAGTGTAGAGGGGCAGCTACTGATTCAGTCTCTTTCAGATAATCATCCCAATTAAACTGTTCTGGAAGACATAAAAAAAAAAACAGGGAAAAAAATACAGTATTTAAAGCACACAGTAAAGAGCTCTTAGGAAGAGGAGGAGAAAATCCCAACTATTCGGTAGATTACTTTTTTTTTTTTTTCCTGAAAACAGAATTACTCTAAAATGGAAGCTCCACCTGCTTAAAATATGCAACCCTTGAAGTAGTTTTAGGAGTTCTGTTCATCTGTAGTGTCGATCCACAACAGGCAAAATGACTGCAAGTCTCCCTTCCATTCTCTTCCTGCAGTTCACATTAAAGATACAAGTCAAGGATATCTAGATTCAGTCACCTGCTCAAGGATGTCCCAAATATCCTTGATCCTTGCACAAACCACATCAATCTTTATGCCTTTGTCTCCCTAAGTGTAACATGGGAACAGCAGCATTTCTTACCTCACAGGACTGCTGAGATGATGTATGTTAAAAAGTATAGCCACTTAAGATTCTGTGCTTACAGGACGAAGCATTTGAAACGTGAATTTAAAATGATATGCTAACCCAAATCCACTAGAAATCTAAAGGATTAGTCCAGTCTATGACCTTAAATGAAACAAAAACTTTTAAAAAGGACTTCTAACTTCATTTTTATGACTTTTTAACCAAGGTCTCCTAAAGGTTAATGCTTGTAAGGTGAAGTAAATATCACTACAATGYTCAGCAACAAGTAGCTTCAGCACCATCGTACCTTGTTTTTTTTTTCCAGTGTTAATACTGAGACCTTTTTTGTGCACAGGCAKGTGGGAGTATTTTACGCTACGTTTACTTGGTGTTACACATTATTACGCTAGTAAAACCTAACCTAACAGTATGAAATACTAACATCAAAGATATAAGAGAGGATTTACTTAAATGAATACAATGCACAAAACGACAACTAAAGCAGTTCAGGTAACGTTTTTGTTCAGGTAGCTCTCAGTGAGATGTTCACGTAGCTCTCAGTGAGCTCTTTTCCTCATTTTTCCTGTTTGGGCACCSGGCATCTTCCCGAGCAAAACTCGGTAACAGGCGCCCCGAAACGGGCCCATGGTGCCACCTAGCGCTCGCTCCAGCGCCGCTCTCCAAAGCTGGCATCCCGTGGGAATCCAAGGCAGTTTCTTGGCGCTCCCCTCAAGAGCACACCTGGGCACAGCTAAGCACATTTGTACAACGTTCAGGAGAGAAGAAACAAGAGAAGGGAAAAAAAAAAAAAAAGGAAAAAGAAAAAGAAGAGCAGTGTAGTGCCTCGTGGTGCCTCAAGCGGGAGAGAACAGGACTCCTGGGCCAACTGAGGTCTCTCTCCCTATATATATATATGTATATGTTTTTTGGACATACCAGCCTCAAGGGGGTAGGAATGATCTGCCATGAGACTGCTGAGGGCATCTGGCTGCAGAAAACATCTGGCTGTCAACTACATAACAAAACAATAACATCTCAAAAAGGGCTACTTTAGTGGACTGCATTGTATTTAGGGTGACAAGGATGGTTTGATAAGACATATTGGGCATCTTGGAAGCCAGCCTATTTTGCCACACAATATTTATTAATGCACAGGTACAGTCAAAGTGATTTTTTTATTATTATTATTATCCACAAGAGGTTATAAGCCAAATCTTTATATTTCAAGAAGGCATGATCAGAAAATGCCTTTCCCAAAACAGTACCCTCAAYATCTGCTGGTCATTCTGCCAAGCCAAGAAAGTTGCAAATATAAATATGATGAAGTAAAGTTTTGCTTTGTAAAAGTTCCTTTTTGAGAAGTAAAGTAGCATAAAATACATAAACTAGCACATGCAGCCAGCTGCACACAAACCCAAGAATACACTGCCTTTTTTCCTTAAACCTTGGCTACTAAAACCACTTTTACCAAACAACAGCCTGAKGTTTATTACAGGATTGTTCCACCTGTGAGGACATGCTGCAGTAAATTAAAGCCAAGTTCTCAGAGATGGTCTTTATTATAATTTAATTACTGCACTGTTAAAATAAAGGATATGAAAATACATTTGTAATACATAACATGTATGTCTTGGGATATAATCAAATGAAATTATTTCCACAAGAAAAGCTTCTCTGTATCTAGCACGCACAGGTAGAGAGGCAATTGTTTTCTGCACATTTCTATTTATTTCTAATTCTAAAGCCCAGAAAGAATATAAGTTCTGAGAAATAAAAGCCTTTAAGAAAACTAGCTCACACAATGATTTAACTTGCATTCCTCTTCCCACTCAAACCTGTGGGCTGAACAAAATAAGCTTTAGAAAAACCTGTTATGCACCAGCACAACATTTTCTATGAACCCAGGAGCAAAGTGAAAACTGGAGAGAGAACAGGATTTTTATGCCRAAGTACAATGGCAAGAACAAATCTGCATATACTGAAAATGAAGGAAAAAAATGGACATAATTAAGAGCTTTGTGAAGAATAAAATAAAGTTTGTAACTGACTCCAGAATGATGTTAAAAAAGTGATCTAACATAGTCAGTATGAACAAATGGCCTGATTAATTTAAATATAGAGAATATAAGTTTATGATGTGTTTGTATCATGCCACTCAGTGAACCCATGATATTCTTTCCAAGACTACCCCAATACTGTACCACTTCCTGACCATTTCTGCCAATTACAAAGTAACTTAAACCTGAAGGGGCCTGTGGGGGTGTCCAGCACAGCCCTGTGCTCAAGTAGGCCCAACACGGACCACGCTGCTTGAGGCTCTGATGACTTTTGAGGGTCTCTACGGACAAAGATACCACAATTGCTTCAGACTCCTCTTCCAGGGTTTTAGCACCCTCAGTGGGAAGATTTTTTTCCTTATAAAAACAGGAATTCCCCAGGTTCCAATTTCCTTTTTGTTGCTTCTTGAGCTTCCACTGCACCTCTTGAAGAGTCTGCTCTACACGACCCCTCAGGTAACTGAAGGGAGCAAGACGCTCTCCCGCCAGCTCTCTCCTGTTAAGGCTGACGAGAGCCGTTTCCTCAGCCTGCTGCCTCCYGCACTGCGTGCTCCAGCACCTCCGTTTCCCTGGGCACTGCCAGGGGGCTTGCAGGGGTGCTCCAGCGGCACACGCGCGGCGCGGGGGYGCGGGTGGCTGCGAGCCCCCGTGCAGCTGCAGTTGCCGCTCGCGCCACCAGAGCGCCCTGCTGCCTCACGCTCGGCGCCCCGCAGCCCCCCGCGCCTGCGCGGCCACCCTGCTGTCCYGCGGACACTTTTCCAGCCACTGTGGCTGGGATTAGGCCTCTTACAGGTAGAAACGCCTCTGCATTTGCCTTTGCATTTCCTCAGGTTCCTATGGGCTCATTTCTCTAGCATGGCCAGGTTCCTCTGAATAGCAACGCTGCCCTCCAGCACGTCAGCCGTCCATCCCAGGTTGGTATCGTGCAAACTAGCTGGTGGGTGCTCTTTCCTCTCATACCAGTCTGCCAAGAAGACATAAAAAGCATCAGTCCTAGCATCAACCCCTGAGAAATGCCACGAGTTACAGCTGCCAGCTGGACTCTCGGCTGCRCTCAAAAATCTTGGAGCTCGGCACTCCTGTGTCCAGGCCACATCTCACCAGTCTGGCTGCAAAAGCGCTGGGCAAGTCCATGCCCAAGGCCTTGCTTAAGCAGGATCCACATCACCCACCGCTCGCTCTGTGGCCGCAGCATCGATCGTCCTCCCAGGGAAGGCAGTCGGGTCAGGCAGGCCTGGCTTAGCTTGGCAAATCCATCTGGGCTGTTCCAAAGCACAGGCTTGTCCTCTATTTCCCTGGCAAGGGCTTCCGGGAGGATTTGCCTCAGTTTTCCAGCAAACTGATGCGAGGCACAGCAGCCTGCAGCTACCCAGATACTCCTCTTCCAGAAGACCGGTGTATTGTTTGGCTTTTTGCATTCATGGGGAAAYATGCCTGCTGACCGCGACATCTCCAAAGCTCTTGAGAGAGGAGCCTTGCAGGGACAGCAGTCAGCTGCTTCAGTGCTCCCTGGCATCCTGTCTGCTTCCATGGATGTGCCAAAGGATCTCTATCTTCCTCTACATAACACTTCAGGTTAGTTTAAATATTCTTTTAATTAAAGATTTAAACGGTGATTTCTGTCACTCTTAAACAGTTAAGATTTTGGTTTATTTCATTTAGTTTCATACAGTATCAACAAAGTTTAAACACTGTTTAAGCAGATAGAGCATCTCACATCTCATATCATTATATGTCTTCTCTAGTCTTCATCCCACCATCTTTTTGTCGAAGATGACGATGTTTCTCTTTAATTTTGGCTCACATATTCTTGCAAACATAGTAAGTATAAAAAATTTTATATCGCCCATTATACTTGCATCCATATGTTGTGATCGTTCAAATAGAAGTCTTGTCCTCCTKCATTTCTTTAGACAATTAGTCTTTGTCACTTTATTTATTTATCTGTTTTCTCACACCTCAATTTCCTCTTCAACTGCTCCTACCACACATGATCCTGAGAAGTCTTGAGCTTTGGTGGATGTTAGCCTGAAATACTTTAAGGTACCTTTCTTTCTTTCTTTCAGCACAAAGAGAGGCTTTTTCTTCCTTCTTCCCACTAACGAGCAGTAACACAGGATAAAAATTATCACCTCATTCTTATATAATCAGAGATGGCGTGTGATCTCGAGCAAGTCACTTTCTCTAGCTGTCTGACAGAACTGAGCCTAGATCTCATGAGTAAATTCAGTGCTCAGACAGTGCACTAACAGCAGAGTCCTCAGTGGAAGAGCAAGGATGATGGAACGAGGCTTGTCTGCTTAGCACAATTTCTGCACAAAGCCTTTCCAACACCCTGCTCTACCACAGAGAAAGGCAGAGAAGCTTTAGAGTGACTCTAAGTTTTGTTATCTTATTCACATATGAAAAGCGTTGAGGGTAGAAGGCTTATGTTGTGTTAGACAACATTATTTGCAAACATAGATGTGCTGTTTGACTTGACACTGATGGAGACAGGAAACAAGACACACCACCATTTCCTCTCATGTCTCAAAGTAACAGGAAAGAATAACAGAAATCACTGCCAATATTTAAAAACAATAGAAGAACCTGCAAGGGTCTGACCAAAGGAATAGCAGAAAGTCTACTACAACTGGTGATAACAGAATATCCCACTTGTATGTGGTGTCACTGCCCCAACTAACCGTTCATTAATCATGTTACTATTTCCACGTTGTTCCAATGACTATACTGCACTAAGTCATTCCTCCACTGATATCCAAGAAAACCTCTGTACTAGGCTACCTATTAGGAGTGAAAGGGCATGGGAGCAGAAGGCAAGTGAGAGTTTAAGTAACCTGGGGATATTTTATCAAGAATTAACTACAACCTCTGAAAGACATTTCCTACTTCAGTCAACAGGATTTATGATATTTCTTACTGCCTCACATTCAAGCACGTGAACTCACAAAAAGCATATGAAGCTGCACTCAAAGACCAGAGTGCCCCCTTATGCATTAAAGCATAATGTTAAAGTTGAACAGAAGAGCTGGCAGCACTCCCAGTGCACGTGCCCTGTGGCACCTGTTGTGGGAAGCAGGTATCTCAACCTGGTAAGAAGCAGGACCATTTCTAGCAAGTGCAGCCTCCCCAGATTAGTAAAAATACATAGTTGAATAGAAAACATAATTTGCTTAAGGTTAAAATCCTAGGCAAATTAATCCAGTCAGCCATAGCAAACATTCAGATTATTAAAGGGAAGAGACTTACTCCAGATCCAACAAATAAGCAAGAAAAGAGAAGGTAACAGAGTCAAAAGAGGCACAGAAAGGGGTAAAATATGGTTAGAAAAACAGGCAAATTAAGAAAAGATCTTAAAAGAAAGAGTGTTTGGATTAGAGACACCCGATATTTTCCTTAGACCAGGAAAACTAGCAGGTTGAAGTCAAGCCATTTTAACAACTTCATTTGTTGTACCAGAACAAATTTTGTTGTAATAACAATTACATAACCATTTTGTTAATGGAGGTAGACAGAAGTTTTAGTTTTTAACTACACATCAGTAATAGCCAAGGAGGTTGGGAAAATAAATAAATAAATAAATAAATAAATAAAAAAGCCTTGGGAGACAGTATAATCCAAATACATACTTTTTTTTTTTTTTAAGAGTATCTTAACTAATAACCTGACAGCTTCAATACCTACCACTTTTTAAAGACGAGTTGTCTGCCTGCTGATTCTTCCCATGTCTCTCTCTTTTAATAGTCTTTGAATCTAAAAGACAAGATTCCATTACACAGTCAATGAAAGATTCACCTCACAATGATGTCCAGTAAAACACAGAATGCTTTCAAACAATACCAAGTGTGTTGTTCCAAAGACTTGTTCAAATTTATATCAGGGAATAATCAGACAAGTTTTTATATTATAATTTTACTCACCACACTATTTCTTCTTTTAAAACATAGAGAAGCAAACCATGAAAAAAGCAGAGCTTTTGAGTATTCCGTATCACATTATTAAATCTAGTTGCAGAAAACAACTTATTACCTCTCTAAACGGAAACCCTGCTCTAATTTTAATAGTTTACTCACTCTACACATAATTTGAGATCCTCAGGACCAATGCTTTTTTTTTTTAAATCTTGCCCAGACCACTCTGAACAGAGAAGCTGGGGGCGAGAGCAAAGGGTCCCGAGAGTGTATTTCTGAGTAAGAGAATCCATTACATCTCTAGTTTATTGAATAATCAAATGCAAACAGCTATCTCAGTATCAATTTTAGCTATTAAAAAACAGAACAAAAAACTCAGAAGTACTCCAACAGATGGCCACAATTCAGCTCTTTCTGTACATGATTATTCTTCAGTAAGTAACGAAAGAACTGGCAGTAACGAAAGAGTGGCAGTAATGCACATTCACATGTACCCTGTTTCAAGTCTTACTTGCATAAAGTACATTACAGTAAAAGAGAGCAGCACTCATCATTGCTGCAGAAATCTTCTAATTGCAGGCTAGAAGCATACTTATTTCAAGACAGAGATTAGATAAGGCAAGGACTTAAGTGTAAGAGAATACAATAACCAACTACCAATACAATCACCTTGTACAAAATTGAACCATTATATCACCTTCAGCCACTCACTCTAACTAGGGCAACCAAAGAAGTTAAATTAAGTACTTACATTTCAAGACCTCATGCACAAATCTGAAACATCAGCAAACTTTGAGAAAATTATTCTGCCACACAGAACTGGATGCTCTTGTTAAAAATCTGAAAATGTACTCATATTTCAATCGACAAATTCAGTGTTATATTTGAACTGTGGTCTGCCAGTGTCAAAAGTAGATCATGAAACTAATGGATGAGTGGCACTGGCTGTCCCTTATTCTGGACTACAGATACAGCATCTTTCTCTCGAGCATGCACACACATACACAACAAAATCAGGCACAAAATTTAATGATAGACTCCTTTCTCTGTGTGTATGTGTACAGACCATAGAATTGTAGAATCATTATGGTTGGAAAAGACCTTCAAGATCATTGAGTCCAACTGCAAACTCTTCAACACCGCTGCTGACTGCTAAACCATGTCCTTGAAAATAAGAGAAACTAAACATCTTCTCCTGATTTTTTTCCCAAGGAAAGGCGATGTTTTGTTCCATTTTATTTCAGTAGATTTCATATTTTTTCCAAGAAAAAATGTTAAATATAAATTTAGTTTTAGCTATATTAAAATTTCAAGGTTTTTTTTTAGCAAATATATTTATTGTAGCTAACACATTCACATGCATGACAAATTTGTCATTTCATGAGCAGTCTATCTAAAGCATACAGAAAAAAAAAACTTCTTTTAATAGTTTTCAAAACAGCAAGCCAAATAAGTAACAGTATAGCAATTGTAGAGAAAACCATGCAATGTGAAGTCGGACATTGTTAGAAATAAAAAAAGAAATAAAGTATCTTGGTTACCTCTGACAGTGCCCTGTCCTGAAAAGAGGATAGGACTCTGCCCTGACTTAATTTTTCCCTGCTGCTTCTTCTGCACTTTTTCCACTTTCTTATAAGAAAAGACTAASCTTGATTATCCATAAAATAATTATGTAGAGGTCTGCCTCTAGTTTCTTAGAGGACATGCAAGTGTTACTCTGGGCTCTTCAGTGCAAAAGATATATGGAGCTCCTGGAATGAGTCCAACAAAATGCCATGAAGATTATGATGAGATTGGAGCATCTCTCATATAAAGGGAAAAAAAATGTCTTTGAGAGTTGGGATTGTTTAGCCTGGAGAAAAGGMTCAGGAAGGATCTGATCAAAACATATGGGACAGTGTAAAGACAACAGATACAGACTCTTCTCAGTGGTGCCCAGCAATAGGATGAATAGGTGCCCAGAATAGTGAGCACAAACTGCAACACAGGAAATGCCATCTGAACTGAAGGAAAAGCCTTTTTCCTGTGACGGTGACAGAGTGACTCCTTTTTTTGAGAAGGAAAGGAGACATGAAAGAACTTCTTTCCATCAGCGTAAGACCTCAAACAAGATGACAGCCTTTCATGATCAGAAAAATCAAGTCCAAATGAAAGAATCTGAAAGCCCACAGCCTGCACACCAGATGGTCTTTTGCTGACCATCACCACCCCATTTAATTCCTACATCAAGGTGAGGTTAATGCACATCTTAGAAATACCTACACAATACAGACATAAATGCTGAAATGGAACACTTTCAGGGACACATATAACCACACAGTAAAGAAATCATGAAAACAGGAGATGAAGACATCAGTGAAAGGAAGTGGATTCTTCAGTAGYAGTTTAAATCTCTCTCTTGTTTCTAGTGAAGATACCTTAATTTATAATAAATCTGAAGCCCTATCACTATCAGTTGCTTTTGACAGTCAGAAACATGTACCTTAAGATCTCTGAGCAAAACTCACCCAGCACATGCCTGTGTCCAAAAATGTGTCTGAATAAAAGCAAGATTCCTTTTTCTCCCCCCCAAAGGCTCCCCTTGCCTTTATGCATTCCAGCCTTCAAGGCTGGATGGTTCTTAACCAAGTTGAGTATTTTATCTAAGCAGATAAAAAGAAAAAAAAAAACTATTAACAGTAAAAATTACTTATCTGTCTTCAAGTGAGACACTCTACATCCTCTACCACCTCCCACCACCCAGAAAAAAAGTCTGCACAGTCTATGCAGATTTATGATCTGTCTGAAGTGCCTCTTCTGATGTTGACTAGAAAAGGGTAGATAAAATGTATGGATTGTTTTTAAAATCATATTTTAATAATATTTTGTGTTTTTTTTTAATTATGATTTTATGAAGAAACACATTTTTTAAAAGAATGCCTATGTTTGAAATCCTGATAGTTGAAATTCTAATAAATTTCATTTCAAAAGATTATTGAAAATAAGATTAAGAATTGGAGGAGTATTATATCAATCACCGGGCTGAGGAGGATCTCTCGGTAAGCATATATAGTTCAGTGTAACTTTACATGAGGCTATGAAGGACAGCAGTTCTTCTGCAGGTATGAAGAATAATTTCTTTTCAATTCCTATAACTAGCTCTGTTCAGGGACCAATTCCTTTAAAAGCTGAAAGATTGACTTGAAAATGGGAACTTTATTTTTAAGTAAGAGACAGAAGAGATCTATTGGTTCTGAATTATTTGAGTTCATTTTGCCAAAGAACAAATCAGTTTAATTCACCATCTGTCTTCTGCTCAAGAAGTCCATTTTTAAGAGACAAATCTGAATTTAATTTCACAGCATATACAGTGTTTTTAAAGTAGTTTTATAAAAACAACAAATACGAAATCCTGTTGTTTTGGACTTAATTACATACTACTCAGCTCTTAAACCACACACACACACACACACAAAAACATGAGATATTGCTTTACAATACTGATATACAAAATATACTGTATATATATTATATACACACATTATATGCGTGGGCATTTAGACCCTACCTATATAATTTTAAACCCCATGAAATATTCGTTTCTTCTAAGTGGCAAGATCTGAGTATAGGATATACTAATTTATGAAGGCAGCATGCTAATTTATGCTCCCCAAATAAGAGTTTTCAACAGAGCACTTTATAAACTAATGCAGCAAATGCAAAACAAGATTAGAATAGATTATTTAGCACGGCGTTTTCTGCTTACTGACTCAAACTCACTTTGTTTACAGCACTCTCCCCTATCTGCAGCCACAGAATTCTTCTGCTGATAAGATTACTCAGCAGAAGACAGGCAAGAGTAACCACATCTATCACCCAAGAAAGCAGAGACAAGGAAGAAACTAGACAAAGCTATCTCTACTGGCTTGTGAATGAGACAAAGAATGACAAGCAGAAAAGGCACCCTAAGAACATAAAGTCTAGTAAAAGATAATGCTGGTGCCCAATTTACGTTTCCTATAAATACTGCCATATTGAATACCAGTTTCTTGCCTAAGATCCAAAAAATTTCCCTCTGGGAAGAGTTACGCTTTCAACCAACAGGACCACAGCTTTGTCTGTGTGCTGGCAAGAACCTCTTCAGACAGTATTTGTCTACATCGACAAGAAGAGGAGCATGCTACAAGAGCAGACGTATGTTTTTTTGCCTAAGACTTGCATATTGTCTTGCTGCCCACTGTGGAAGAAGAAGAAGCTGGCAGTCACTTTCTCAGAATTTGTGCAGCTATTTCTTAGGTGCCTTAGACACACTGTCTGGTGCTCAAAACACGGCAGGAGAGCCCTTTCCTCAAAGGAATCCTTTGTGTCTTCCCGACAGATGTTAAACACCTTTGGGTGACAAAAGCATTTGATCTTCCYGCGCTACACAGTAACCTTCATCTGAAGGCAAATTACTAAGATGTGCCAATATTTCTAGACAAAGATGAGCCCCAGGCTCTCAAGAGCTATCACAGTCCAAGAAGGGGCCTTAACTCCCTAACACGTGGGGTTGTGGRCACCTTTTAGTTGCCCTTCACCAAACCTCAGTGCACACAGCTGAAGAAATCAAGACTAAGTGAATCCGAGACATCTCCTTCTACTTCTTTTTGTGCTTTCCCAAGGGGTTTATCTTATCTTATCTGCCAGGAACAGAGCATCTCTTTTAGTATATTTAGACAACAGCCATGCAGAAAAAGCTCAAGAGAAGGGGGTAGGCTTCCTCCATAAACTCCTGGTGCAACAATTAAATGGATGGCCACTGCTGTTATAATAGCAAGAGACAATTATTTACCAAGGGAGCACACAAGCACATAAAGCAACTTGGGCTGAAGGTAGAAGAAAGCTCAAGAGCGTTACACAAAAGTGTTAGCCATGTTTTATGGGAGACAGCTACTCATGTGAAAGCTTTGAAAAGCAGCAGCAGCAGCCCAGCTTTGGACAGCAGGACTTTCTCTTATTACATTCTCTTTGTGCCACTAACTCAAACACACTTGTTACTGCTTATGTCTCATTCTTTATTTTAGTACTTAAGTTTATTCATGATTAAATTCTCTAGAGATGACACAGCAGAAATCAAACCTTCACGGTAGACTGTGCTTTTGTAAATAAATATATTACTAAAAAAATAAATAAAAGCTAATTTTACCTTCAAGACCTTGTGAAATGTGGCTCCTGCTGTTTGCTTTGGTAAAATGCGATTCCTAGCACAATCAGTTACCCTCCTGCTAAATTAAGCAGCAGTTATAGAATAAAGGACGGCTTTTCATTTAWTATCACATTTAGACACTCTCAATTTTTAGGTAGGACAGTGGTATCAAGACCACCGACAAAGTTGCTTTCACTGAACTGTATAGAACAGGTCCAAGATAGCTAAAGTTAGCAGTTGCTCCCAAATGATGCTCCCAAAGTATGAACGTATTTGTGTTCAAATCACATCATAACTTTCCTTCTTTAACAGTAATATCCCACCACTTTCAAAAAAAGAGTTAACAGTTTCCCTATTTTCTTTCCTCTTGGATAAAAGCTGCAAGGCCTTACCTTTAGCTGCTGTTTTCCCCATGGTAACACTTCTGTGATCTTCCCTCACAATAAAAAGGCTGAAGTTGAAAGACCAGTTAATTCTTCCTTTCAGCACAACAGTTTCCTGTGGAGTAGTAATACAACATGTTAGGGGAGGCGGGCTGGTGTGATCTGGGGTTTGGGATTTTTTTTGGAAATGAGGATTTTTTTTTGTATAGGCTATAATTATCTTGCAGGTTTAACACAGGAAAGGTTTAACAAGCTATTTGTAGAGGAACACTCTGTAAACRATGGGTATATCCATGTGACAAGGGTACAAAGAAACCAAAATTTTATCTCACTGTTTTAGACTGTTTGTTGTTTAGTGGTTTGCATTTTCAAGGGGGTTACTAATGCACAGAAAGGTACAAAAAAATACTTTATTCTCCCCCATCCCTCCCCCAAAAAAGCACATTAGAGGAAAATGTTAAGACAGACTCTCCGGTATCACACATGCACATTGTTTAACAATCATCACCACAAACACCTTTGGATAAAGCCCCACGTATTTCGGAAACAGAGCAGACGGGGGATCAGCAGCACTCCTGTAAGAAACCCAGACAGGGGCACAACTGTTCCCTTAGCCCACTGGCCGTGGCAGCTCCTAAGACAGTGACAAGAATCGACTTCACCCAGGAGCAGCGACCCCCGTGCTGGTAGGCTCTATAAACCACAAGTGCCAACTCAGTTAAACCACTATAAAACACCAAAAGCAACTTTCCCCCCCCTCCTCCTTTTGCTTCGGTATTTTTCCACTTCAGCATCTAATTTTTCAAATTTTAACTTTTTTCCCCCTTCTTCAAATTGTTCAGCTCAAGCTCACTTGAAMCTATTAAGTCTGGAAGGAACAAAATCATTTGGTTTATTGCCCTTTCCCACCTACCACTCAAGTAATAAAGGGTAAAAAATATATTAAAAGTTAAAAAACTACCATTTTTGACCCATTCTTTTTGAGGAATTCCCATGAGGTTAAGGTTAATATCAATCAATCAAAAGTTCAAATTTTATTTAATATGTGCACATTTTTCCAAAATTAGATTTGGTTAGAGGTACCATTTTTAGAAGCCACACTTTACAATGTTACACAAAAGGAATAGTAGCTGAAAAGCAATGAACTGATTTGGAATCTCTTGAATCTTATAACCACATTCCCCCCCAAACATTACACACACACACACACACACACACAGAGCATATAACAAAAGAGTTGAAGTACAAAAGAGTATATTTCCTAAACTAGGACATTTCTGCAAAATTCAGATCAACCTGTAGACTACAATGATAGATTGCATGATGAAAACTATTCATACAGTGAAAGTCCCATGGCTAAAATCAATTAAATATGGTTCTGAAAGTACCAACCAATGAAAAATTCTTTTAGTGCAAGTACTGTGTGTGAACATGCTGCACAGTTATCACAAAAACTCAAAAGGCTGCGGCTTGAAAGCAGTTATAAATAAAACTGAATGCTAACATAAAGGAAGCAGTTTTTGCTGCACAATAGCATTCACATAAGTGATCAGCRGGATTAAGAACAGAAATCCTTTTAAGCCATGAAATAAATTTGAAATACTTGATACTTTGTAGACTCCCCCAAAAATTCAAAGCTTTTCCTCTCCAAGTAATAAATTGTGAAAGGTGATGCCGAGTCAAAGTAGCTGTTTTTACAGATTACTTTAAAACAGTGCATGGTTTTTATCTTTTTGTTCCAAGTACCAGATTGCACTTGGTGCAGTCATAAAGATTCCAACCCTGCAGTGATAGTCATCAAGTTTAGCACAACTGGAACGTCTGTCAGAACATAAAAAGGATTCCAGCATTTCATTAGCTTGTGTTGTACCAGATAGGCTATTTTACAGCATGCCCACAAGCCCGTTAAAAATGTAAGACAATTGAAAGGTCTGAGGGAGCTGTTTAAAATAGGGCAAATTCTACAGCACAAATACAATRTATTTCTATTTAGAAGAGGTGCTACCAAAAATCCGCTTGCACCTACTGTAGTCAATTTAGAGTCATTATTAAACCAGCTTCTGTTACAGGAGATAGGTATTACAGAAGAAAGGCATTTCTGAGCCTCTTATCTGGCAACCACTGCACATTACTGAAAAATAACACAGTGAAAGCCTGTTTCCTCCAAAATGCAGCTGGGTCAATCTGAAATGAAGTGCAACTTCTTTTGCAGGGGCAGATCTTGAAACAGCTCTCGATCACCTCTTGCAATTCAGCAGCAAACTGTGAGCAAGGCAGTTATGTCCTTTACTAACCACCACAAGTCCTTTCATGTTGCTCTCAACATCATCAGTCTGACTCGAATCAGAGCCCACCCTCTCACGAACAGAAACAAAACAACCAGTAAATACGGGAGAGAAACCTCCTCCGGGGGCCTTGGGGAAAACATATAGAGAAAGCACAGAGCTCAAGGCATTCTTGTATGCGCAACTCGGCGAGAAAACGGAGCAAAGGAATAGAAAGTTTGGGTTGAGAATGTAATCTAGCAGCTTTTAGAAATGAAGAGAAAAACAAAATGCAACAACATCAGGTCAACAACAGACAAAGAGAGAAATGAAGCGCCCAGGCTGAAGGCAACTGAGCTAGGAGGTGCAAAGGCCCAGAATGACAGGGTACAAAAGCCAAGCTAGGAGCAGTGCTTGCTGGTCACAGACAAAACAAAGCAAACAAAACCAGCCCAAAAGCATCCAGCCAGCGAGAGTGCGAGGACATGGATTCTGAGAAACTACTGGCTGTAAACCTGAGGATTTAAAAATGGRGGGGAAAAAATCATTAATAGAATCCATTATATTCATGAATAGAATATTTATAATTAAAAAGGTCATGCAGGATCCCCATAAGAGTATTTATATTTAGGTTTCACATTATCCTGAAATTCAGTTTTATTCCTTCTTTACTTAGCTTCTCCTACACCAGATACTTGTATTAAGATCAGATGGAAAGCATTTATCTGCCTTTAATTCTTTATTAAGATTTCATTGTTTAGCCCCAAATCACTTCTGCTAGCCGCTTCCCACTGCACAAGCTTAAACCATCCTCTCCAAGTTGCTACCACATAATACTAGCTATCAGAAAACAGGATGGGAAACGTGCTTCCTGGCTGGCATTGCTTTTCTAATTTTGGAAATATGCATTTCAAAGAAACTAACATTTTACAGAAAATGTGCATTAAACAAAAACACAGAATGATTTTCACGTTTCCATTATCCTTCTCACTCCAAGCGAGTAAATCAACCAAGCTAACCATGTAAGTGTTCYGAAGAAAGTAGTCACACGTATTTAGAGCGTCTCAGAGCAAGACTATCTTGAGAGCAAACCAGCTCTTAAAAACGTAGGGCACAGAACTATGGAGATAGATTATTTAMAAGAAGCTTAAGCACCAAGTACAGTGTGGTTTAGCGCACCACACTTGGGTTAATGACTTGGAGACAAGACAAGAAGCCAAGGTTAGAGGCAGTCAGTTTTTAACCCTGTTGCTGGTGTAAATGGAGTACCTCAGAGCTTAGCTTGGGGTCCTTGAGAGAAGAAGAGACAGGTACTAATGGGCAGTCACAGCTGGGCCAGGGCCAACATTCTTCTTTTACACAGACAGACAGAAAGCTCTAAGACATCCAGCACTCAGAAGAGGAAAACAGTAAGAAAAAGGCTCTGAAATATCAATCTTCTCAATTCTCGATTATCTATCAGTCTTCTAATTCACGTTTGAGACCGTATCTGGGCGGGGAGTTTTACTTTCCCCTCACTCTTTTTCTTCTCCAGATGCTTCTACATCAAACTCCCATATGGAAGGGACAAAAGAATGAGACATAATTTAAAAGCCAAACCAATTAAGCCAAAGAAAAGGCACAATATAAACAAACCAATATGCCCTCCTGATCTTTCACTTACACCTGAGCTACGCTTTGCTTTTACCTCCAGTACTGAAATGCTCTCAGCTTTAGAAATACGGAGTTACCACCTGAAACTCTTGGGCAGTGCTGTCAAGGTCTTTTGGCCATTACCATTCCCCTGCTCCATCTGCTCCACAGCAAGGACTGGCGAGGTCTCCTCTGTAGCCTAACATATAGTGCAACAGCCATGATTCTGACTTCAGCATCTATGTATTCATATACATACCCCAGCACGTGCATAGTTTCCAAAATAAATGCGACTTTTTTAGTGTTGCATTACTTCAAAGCTGCTCTTCATTTGGAGTATTTTTATAAACCCAATTACCTTTTAAATAAAAGCCCCGTTCACTGTTTCACACTATTTTCACAAGCCTATAGGAGTCTGATAAAAAAAAAAAAAAAAAAAAAAAAAAAAAANTTTCCAAAATAAATGCGACTTTTTTAGTGTTGCATTACTTCAAAGCTGCTCTTCATTTGGAGTATTTTTATAAACCCAATTACCTTTTAAATAAATGCTCGGTTCAGTGTTTCGCACTATTCTTACAAGACAATAGGAGTCTGATAAAAAAAAAAAAAAAAAAAAAAAAAAAAACTAACAAAACAAACACACACAGAAAGAGACTTAAAACAGTATTTCTATAATTTTAAATGTTTCCAACTCCCCTTGAAAGCTACTTCCAGGCTAGTTACCCCATGCATATTTTAGTGCACAGGCTCATTGAGCCTACTTTAATGTACAACAGCACATACCTCCTTAATTTCTCTAATAGTAATAATGAGTGAGCACCTTTCACCTACTCTCCCATCATTACAGAAAAGATTTAAGATTTAAAAAAAAAAAAAAAAGAAAAACAAAAAGCACTTGGCACAAACATCATAAGATAATAAAATGTAACACAACCTAACACAACCTTTGCAGTTGTAAAAATCAGCGTAACATACTCACACTTTCAAAACAATAGTAAAGATTAGGTTTGCTTTCACTTATTCACACAAGTACACAATCAGTAATCTATATTTAGTCTAAATTAGATTCTTTTTTAGTTTACCTTCTTTGTAAAGAAGGTAAAAAAGGCAAACCAAAAGAAAACCAGAAAAACCTTTCCTTTTCAAAGAAGGGAAACCAAACTTCTGTACTTCATATGCCAGACTTTCTAATGAATTAATAGATGAGAAAATCTTCTCT